GAGGGGGGAAAACGCTTCCTCCTCCTCGCGCTTCCTCTCCGTCGTTCCCTCAGGTTTGAGCTGTTTATTATTGTTCCATGCAAATGCAATCACTTGGAACACTCACCCATGTTTTCATAGCTATTATGATATAATGTATTTATTGTAATCTGTAAATCATGAATAGTTCATCTGGATCTTGTTCTTGGCACATTTGCATAAAATCATCTTTTGCCATAGCAGTGGGAGTCAACACCACAGTAAGCTGAGGGGATTGCGGAATTGTCTCACTCTGACTTTTTAATGGTTACCAATTAATTACTAGACAAAATAAAAAGGAAAAAAAGGAAGAATTTTGTTTAATTTGCAACTTGGCACATTTGGACATTGCTGCAAAGCATCTGTTTCCGTCTCCCTGTCCTTGCTGCTTTATCAGCCACTCGTGGACCGAAAAGGTCATTTAATTTGGAGCTCTTTGTTGAATCTGCCAGCAAAGCTCTTTCCTGCTATCACAAGCGTTTTCTAAAACACGTTTTCTTTCCTTTTTTTTTTTTTTTTTTGTGCCCATCTCAACTCAAAACTAGTTTAATCAGCCAGCGTTTGAGGTCAAGGAATGACACCTCTGTGAAAACTTTGCTTCCGCAGACTCATTTTATGAAAAGAAGAAGCAAAAAGATTGATATCATGCTGCTAGTGAGTGTGAAAGTGTAAGAAATATGAAGATGAAATGGATTTGAGGAAAGATTTTGTGGTTACTGAGGATTTGATGAAACTACACAGTAGTTCTCTCTACAGCAGCTGTGTTGATGGTATAAGTAATAAGCAACAATATTTCCCTTTTGCTAAGAGCTTAACTAGATTGATGTGTCGATTCTTTTAGAGTGAAATGTTAACATGTTTAATGCAGCAATCATGAACCCTGAAATGTATTTTCTGTAAGTGGAGTTTTAGACATCTTCTACACAAAAGGTTCCTATATAGCCTGGAAAATGTTTTTTTTTTATGGTCTATAAGAGAAAAGTGGGGGAAAAAACTTTTTTTTTAAAGTAGTATCCATCAATCTTTTGACTCTCCATTTATTTTCCATCCATAAATGAATTCTCATTTTATATCCATTTTACTATCCAGGAATGTGTTTATTCATCCATTCATCAGTCCATAAAAAGATAAAAAAAAACATTTCCTTGTCAGCATATTTATTTACATTCATTTTTCTAACTATGGCATAATCTATAAGTCTGATCAATGCTACTTAGAACATGTATTGAACATGGATTTAGATTTTTAAACATTTCCCAGCCTTATTTAGTGCAAAATTAGGTGAAGTGGACAATATGCAAGAAGGCTTATTTATATATATCTAATTGGGAAATATTACATTAGATAATTTGTTTTAAATTATACAATTAGCCTTCAGTGGAATTTAAGATGGTTTGTTAAATGATAAAAATATAAATATTAGACTATTAAAAGTACCAGATGTTCATGTAATAATTTAGGCCTAGATTTTAATGAAACAGGTTCTAACTACTAACCCACAGCCACACAAGGTCAGTGGTCAGCTGCATTTCATGAATTTGATGAGAAAATGTATATTTCAGATATCCATCAATCCATCCTCTCATCCATCCATTCTCCCATCCATCCTTTCTTCTGTTCATCCATACATCCTCCCATCCATCCTTCAATCCATGATTTTATCCATCAATCCTTCCATTCATCATTCCACCCATCCATTCATCCTCTCATCCATCCATCCTTTAATCCATCCATTCTTCCATTCATCCTTCCATCTACCCATTTTTCCAAAATCTTCCCATCTATCCATTCTTTCAACCACCCATTGTCCCATCCTTTCATCCATCTATCCGTTCTTCCATCCATCCATTCTCCTGTCCATCCATACATCCTCCCATCCATCCTTTAAACCATTCAGCCATCCATCCATTTTTCCACCCATTCATCCTCCCATCATCCATTCTTTCATTCATCCTTCCATCTACCCATTCTTCCACAATCTTTCCATCTATCCATTCTTTCATCCACCCTTCCTCCCATCCTTTCATCCATCTATCCGTTCTTCCATCCATCCATTCTTCTGTCCATCCATACATCCTCCCATCCATCCTTTAATCCATCCATTCTTCCATTCATCCTTCCATCTACCCATTCTTCCACAATCTTTCCATCTATCCATTCTTTCATTCACCCTTCCTCCCATCCTTTCATCCATCTATCCGTTCTTCCATCCATCCATTCTTCTGTCCATCCATACATCCTCCCATCCATCCTTCAATCCATCCTTCAATCCATCCTTTGATCCATCCTTCCATTCAGCCATCCATCCATTCTTCCATCCATTCATCCTCCCATCCATCCATCGTTTAATCCATCCATTCTTCGATTCATCCTTTCATCTACCCATTCTTCCACAATCTTTCCATCTATAGATTCTTTCATCCTCCCATCCATCCATCCATTCTTTCAACCATCCATCAATCCATCCATCCATCCATTCTTTCACCCATACATCCTCCCAGCCATCCTTCAATCCATCCTTCAATCCATCCTTTGATCCATCCTTCCATTCAGCCATCCATCCATTCTTCCTCCCATCCATCCATTGTTTAATCCATCCATTCTTCAATTCATCCTTCCATCTACCCATTCTTCCACAATCTTTCCATCTATCCATTCTTTCATCCACCCTTCCTCCCATCCTTTCATCCATCTATCCGTTCTTCCATCCATCCATTCTTCTGTCCATCCATACATCCTCCCATCCATCCTTCAATCCATCCTTTGATCCATCCTTCCATTCAGCCATCCATCCATTCTTCCACCCATTCATCCTCCCATCCATCCATCGTTTAATCCATCCATTCTTCCATTCATCCTTTCATCTACCCATTCTTCCACAATCTTTCCATCTATAGATTCTTTCATCCTCCCATCCATCCATTCTTTCACCCATCCATCCATCCATCCATTCTTTCACCTATCCATCCATCCATTCTTTCACCCATCCATCCATCCATCCATCCATCCATCAATTCTTTCACTCATCCATCCATCCATCCATCCTCCCATCCATCCATCCTTTCACCCATCCATCCAATCATTTTTTCTCTGTCTCATTCTCTGATAAATCTCCAAACTGACATAGAAACCAGACAGTGTCAGCTCAAAGTTTCCTCGCCATGCAGACTGACTACTAAGATTCTTGCTTTTTTGTCTTGCAGAATTGGTTCAGCCACCCTGTTGAGAAATCCCTCCTGGTTGTTTTCATTCAACGTGTTGCTATTCAGATCTCTCTGCTGTAGATGAAGGCTAGATTGAAGATAGGGCTGTCACTTTATTTGGGTAGAGAAGCTGCTTGTGCTGCAGTGAATTGAACAAAAAGGTGTGACCTATGTCTGCAAAGTAGAAAACATCAAGAAGACAATGGTTTTAAAGGAGCTGAAACAATTTGATCCTGACCCATTTCAACAGTTTGAGGAAGAAAATACAGCAGCTTATTGTCACATTTAACAAACCTGAATAAATCAAAGTAATGCCACTCCCCCCCCTCATCTCCTTTATGCCACACATATATATTGCCCCTAAATCAAGTCCTTTGCTCTCAGAGTATTGATATTTGCTGAGGTGGGAACAGCGGTGTCTGTGAGTGCAGGTCTTTATTGCAGATCTCCAGAAATACAGCATCCTCAGTGTTCCACTGATTATTTGGTTCACTCCTCATAGACCCTACTAATCATTCATCGTAAATGAGAAGCCTGATCTATTGGAGATTAGATCAGTCAACAATCATCTGTGTTGAATAAGTGATTTCTGCAATGGAGTGAACCTTCCACAGGAGAGGATTCACAATCACATTGTTGCCAGAAGGATTGCTTTTTCATTTTTAGGATGGTTGTGTTTTACTCCATTTGTGTGCATGACTTAATTGAATATAGCCTTAACCTTTAGAATATCTTTCCACAATGCCCATATGTATGTCTTTTTATTTAAATATTGTTATAAAGATAAAGAATACACATTTATTTTTTTATTCAATTCAAATTCAATTCAGAAATACTTCATCAATTCCAAAAGAAAATTAAATCTTGTAGTAACTCGTGTCTTTTTTGCAGTGAAAGTGTATGGGTTTATTTCAGGCCATCCATAAAAGGTATACAGCTATTCATACAACCTCACAGGTGTTCAGGCTTGCAGCTTAGAATAGATGTTTTGTTTAATCTGAAATTTAGAAATATGTATAAAGACATGAAAAACAGCATCAAAATGGCGGCGAAGAATACTGTTACGTGGGCTTTATGCATGGATGACCTCATTATCTACCCAATTATCTACTATAGATTGACATTCAGTCCATTCACCTATTCAATTAATGAGTAAACTTCAGATGTAATCATTTATTTTTACATGCAGTGCTTCCCTGGTCGAAGCATGTTGTTGCTCTATGTATTATCTTTATTTCACATCAAAAAAACGATTTATATCCTATTGAATAAAACAAAGACGGAAAATAATCCACAATGGCATCTTTCCAATTGCCGAAAGAAGTAATGGAAGCATTTGCTGCCATGGCACATATTGTTTTCAGCCTCTCAAAGAGCATAACTCATACTTAAAATTAGATTTCACTTTTCCTCAAATGGCTGGGTCGTTTCTTCCGTTTGTGTATTTCATTTTTATTATCTTCTGCATAAATGTCAGTGTGCAGAATTATATTAGCTGCTTTGTTTATTCCAGTCCTGTTTGTCTTTATTTTTGCATGCACTGAGCCATTAAATATAAACCTGATGGTGGGCTCTCTTTGTTGCACTGACTCTTCCAATGTGGCCATGCGCTTCGTATTTGTTAGATTTGCTCTTAAATGGGAAAAATGGCTGTAGGAACCTGTCTGTGAACAACTTTGATATGCTCCAGCCTCACTCCAAACACCATGGACACACAAAACAATCTGCTATAATTACATTTTTCCTCATGCAGTGACTCTTTCCTTTCCTTTTGAACAGACCTTCCTCCTCCAGCCACAAGGGAACGCCCCCCAGGTTGCAAGACCGTGTTTGTCGGTGGTTTGCCGGAAAACGCCACGGAACAGCTCATCATGGAGGTTTTTGGGCAGTGCGGCGATATCACAGCCATTCGCAAAAGCAAGAAGAACTTCTGCCACATCAGATTCGCAGAGGAGTCCACAGTAGACAAGGCTCTCTTCCTGTCTGGTAAACTTTCATACCTCAACTGCACATTGCAATTATTTTGTCAATGCAGTGCAGATCTAGTTGGAAGCAAATTTTTCAGTGTTGAATGATGAGAACTTTAATATATTAAAAACAGGATTATCAGGAGTGGTTGGGTTTTGTTTGGTACCTTTGCACAGGCCCAGGTTTCAATCATATTCCATACAGTCATGGATTCATGTGTTGACTTTTCTTTTCCAATTAAACAATTAATATATGAAAAGCAGCACGGTAGAATTTTTTTTTTACAGAACTGAAGCTAAAACTATTTAACATTATTAGTTCTGCATAAAGCCGATTTAAAGAGACACCGTCAGTTTTTACAAAATAATATCTTTAAAATAAGCTTTTTATTTGACCCTTTACGACTAAAACATTGTTTCATGAGCAGACTGAATCAGTAGGTCATTTCCGATGCGTCTATAATCTTTTATCCGGTTTTGCTGAAGTCAGAAGTTCCCACGCTGTTCTGCTGATGTGACGTCATGCTCCTCCATGTTGGATTGGTCCGACCTTTGTGGATACTCAGAAGAGATCAGCATCCAGCTAAACTCAAACAAGAACCGTAACTCCATCTAGGGAGAAAAAGTAAAAACAAAAAACCTTCCGTAAAAGTTAAAAAAACAATCCACTGGACTTGGTTTCCAAGGTTTGAAGACGTTTCTCTTTCCCTCCAGGAAGCTTTCTCAATTCAAATGTCTGGATCCGCAGTGAGTTTGAGTCTTTATATAGACAAGGCCTTGTATTGCTTGGCAACATGCAAATGGACACTGACGAGTGGGTCGTTTGGTTCCATTGTTAGCCTGTAATATCTGAAACCTGTCTATGATTCTGAAGGTCGGTCTAAACTTTTACGGAATGACTATGACCTGGATAACTGAGAATCTTCATCAGCAAATAACGAAAAACCTTGATAATTATGAGCAGAAGAGTGCTGCAGTTCTGTGTTTTGGCCACAAAACATTACAAAACTCTGTAATGTGCCTTTAAAGACAAAGAAGTTTTACATCTAAAATGCATATATTTTTTATTCATTTCTGGCTTAATTACTACTCTGAATGAATTTTCATTTCAGAAAATGCATATTTTAAAGTTGGTGTACTCCAGTTAACAAGTATATAATGTGATAAATGAGTTGGCATTGGTTTCAGAGATCCATTAAATACAATTAGTTCATTCTCTGAATAATTGTTTCAGCACATGAGGGAATTTATCTAAAAAGCAGTTTATCTACTTTGTACATGTAGAGATGCATAATTTTGTAGAAAAAGGAAGTGTGTAATGTTTTTTTTGTTTTGTTTTTGTTTTTTTTCGGCACTAGTGGCTCGTTTTTTCAATAGAATAACACGAAAGCGGTATGAGAGAGGGGGAGAGACATGTGGCAATGGTCGGATTCGAACCCGGTTCGGCCGCATCGAGGACTAAGGCCTCCGTACATGGGTCATGTGCGCTAACCAGTGCACCACCTGCATGCCTAAACCATCTAATCTTAAACTACTGTGCTTAGGAGAAAGAAAAGTGGTTTTGATATTTAATAGTAATCCATGAAACCAAAACTCACACTTATCTTTAAGTGGAAGGTGCCTCAAACTATTGTTGAAGTGAAGCCTGTTTATAACTGAATTAAGTGTATAAATATCATTTTTACTGCAATGCTTTCTCAAGAGACCTTTCATGATCTGAGAAGATGAGGGTTTTTTTTTTTTTGCGTCTGTGATTGCAGGTAATTAGTCCCTCAGCATGATGGTAACACCTACATACTTAACAGTTGGTACAATGTTACTAGGTAAGAACATCTCATCTGGACTCCTTCAAACATTAGAGTGCGTTTAATGAGTTGAGATGAGACTTTAACATCTAAAACCACTGTGTTAACTGTTAAACAAGGCGGTGGCGGTATTGTGGCGAAAGTCACAAGTGCAACATTTAATTATTGAAGGAGGTCCGTCATAAATTCACACCATTTTAAATCTGGACTAAGTATAGTTTCCCAACAGCACAATAATCCTAAATATACTTTAGTAGCAGTTTTGGAAAAAAAAGTGGGAAAAAAAGTAAAATTACCTCCAATTTGTTAAAACACTTTTCTATAACACAGGGCTGAAAAATAAATAGAACTAGTATGTGTTTTAAAGAGACATCTTTTTAAATATTTGAGATGGAAGATGCTATTTAAACCTGTTGGTAAAATGGACAATTTATATGGATTTAAATACATTCACAATCATTTCAAAGTTTAATGACAGTCAGGGTTTGAGGGTTTTTATTTAGAAATGTGAAGATCGGCCTGATTTATGATGCCTAGCTGAGTTTGTTGTGTTGCATTTAACCTTAATTAGATTATTTAAAGCTCTAATTCAACAATTAGGAGTTACTTTATAGAGACAAACATGTAGCTGTGGCGTCGCATAGATCAGCATCAGTTCATTTTGGACTGAAAATGGGAAAAATTAGATCACAAAGGACCTTAAATTCCCAGTTTATCAGCTTGTGATTCAGAACAGTAACAGTGAGGAAAGACATAGTTCAGTAAGAAAAATCCAGATTACTAAATAATAAAAAAAATCTCTACCACCTATCAGGCTCCACTTTGTGTGCTCTTATCTCGTCTTCATTTTCAAGCTGAACAGAACAGAGATGCTCAATCTCTCTGTGGAAACCGATGACCACTCTCTTCTGCTTTAAAAAGCCCACTCAGAAGAGCCAGCCTCTCAGAAATATTCCCAGCTTAAGTGTGTGTGTGTGTGTGTGTGTGTGTGTGTGTGTGTGTGTGTGTGTGTGTGTGTGTGTGTGTGTGTGTGTGTGTGTGTGTGTGTGTGTGTGTGTGTGTGTGTGTGTGTGCACACAAATCCATGAGAGATAGTGAGTTTGAATGAGAGATCCCTTGATTTCAGCAGCCTCTCTTCTTACAGTGAGGTGTGGGTGCAGAGGTTCATATATTAGAGCGATGACAGGGCTATGTAGTTTCCCCATAAATAATCCCCCACCCACACACACTCAGGGAGAGCCTGTGTAAACAACAATACCCAGCAATGACACACACAGGCAGCTCCAGCACACCAGCTTCTCCTCATATGAAATATTAAGGCTGCGCTAGATTAAGAGTCTAAGGCAGTGAGAGCAGACTGAAGTAGAAACTCCTAATTTTCTCTTTCATCTCGATTCCTGATTTGTCTGCAATCTATTTCTTTGAGTATTTGGGTCATTTAAACCACTTAAACAAAAGGATTGTAATTAATTCCACAACTGGACATTTTTAAAACAAAACAAGTATGATAGAGTAGGTATAAGAGGGAAGTTAAGAGTGTTAATGAGGACCATTCAGGTCTCACTGAACACATAGAAAAGTAACGCGTCTCCGAGTCTCTTCTGCAGTGACCAGTTCATGCAGAGCTACACATATCAAACAAGATTTTGAAAAAAAAAACAACTATAATGCATTATGTCCTCTAATACTAAGTTGTTTTTTGTCTGTTAAAATAATTCTTTCTCTCCACTGTCAACGTGTGTTTCCTCAGGAGGAGAGGTTTCTGCACAGTCACCATATTGGTGGAAATAGTGGAGCTAAAATTGTTATTTAGCTGTTTATCAATAGGCTACTAAATATGAATTATAATACATAAATTTTTGGTTTAGTCATGTGCTGTGTTTTTATTTTAATTTTTCCAGAGATAGAAAAATCTGATTAATCCTTTCTTAATAAATATTTCACTATTAATTGACAGTCTGCTTCATGTCCCTAAAAACCTGGTGGTTTACGCTCTCATGGAATGTTATTTTATTTTTGTCTCCGAATATAAACTGTGTAAAGCATTTTAACCTGTAATCCTTAAATATTGTGACTGGAGGATTTACTGTGACTGTCTTCACAGAGAGCTAAGAAAGCAGAAGTCATTGATTTAAATTCTCTGATCCGTGAGAGTTAAGATACGACTGTAGAGATTTTGAAAAAGGGCTGCGTACTGCCTTTATACCAGGGCTGTTATTTTGGGATTGTATCTCTTATCTATATCATCTATTTTCAAATAAATTCAAAGGTTTTTTTGGTAAAAATAGATTTTTAAACCAGTTATCTGTATCTTTGCTAGGTTATCGAATCCGTTTGGGCTCCAGCACAGACAAAAAGGACACCGGTCGCCTCCACGTTGACTTTGCACAGGCCAGAGATGACCTGTATGAGTGGGAGTGCCGCCAGCGCATGCTGGCCCGAGAGGAGCGCCACAGGCGCAAGATGGAGGAGGATCGCCTGCGGCCGCCCTCCCCTCCTCCGATTGTCCACTATTCAGAGCATGAGTGCAGCCAGCTGGGGGACAAAATCAAAGGTAGACACAGATGCTTGCAGCCTCTGAGACACATAGCTTCTTCATCACATGAGGGAATATTCTTCAAGTTTAAACTTGATATGATATGAAAAAGGCAGCCGGGTTTCTATAAAATAATGTCATCTTGTTTAGATGTTTTTAAACTCTGGGTAAGTGTGTGGGATAAAAAGGGAAAATGGGAAATATTTTTGTTGTTCCAGACTGCATTTCCTGTTCCTTCGTCTAATTGTTGTTTATTGTCCTCCTTGCACACCTCCCTCCTGGTGTCCTACCATTCATCCTTTCTTCTTTGGTGGTGGTGGTCAGCAGCCCAGTGGCGCCAATGTCAGTCTGCCCCAGGGCAACTGTGGCTACGACCTAGTCAATGAGGAGTAAAGCTCTTTTCCCATCTTCTTCCTTCTTTTTCCCCATCTCTGTCCTTATGTCCTTCCATTCTTCCTGTATTTTCTTCTCTCTTTCCTCTCTGTACCCTTATTTTATTCGATACTTATCTCTTCCCACCATCTTTGTCTTCTCTTCTACCTCATTTACTTTGTTCCTTTCTCCATTCCTTAGATTTATTTATTATAGCCTTGCTTTTTTTCCTTGCATCTTTCCTTCCCTTCTTACTTGAAGTCTGACATTTCTGTAAATGAATCAAATTTTAAATTTGTAAAATATATTTTAAAGTAAAAACTGTTTAGGAGAGCTCAGGTAAATAGATATATTACTGGGTGTCTCAGGAACAGTCCTAAAGTTCAGCATGTACCTCCAACAAAGTATTTCAGGTGTTCTTACAAACTGTGGGAGCTTCCTCTACCAGTTTGTTAAACAGTGCATAAGTGGGTCCCTATAACCTGCTCCTTGTTTATCTCATCCGCCCTCACAACTCATCCTACATTCCAAAGCGCTCTTTTCTGCCTTTTTACAGTTTTCTGTCGACTCTCTGCCAGGATAAACTTGTTTCTCTAATGAGCAGTAGCACTTCCAGCTCTCCGTCACAGTGGCCTGATAACAACATGGCCGTGACTTTCTGTCTCTCTACCATCTGCATGGGGTTTTTTCTCTTCTCCGCTGCCTGGCCCTCGCAAAAACCAAGAAATAAACTCAGAAGCTGTGCTGTTTCAGCCAAGAGTTTGTTTGTGATCTCTCCGGGCTGCTGTTGGGAGCAACACAGTCATGTGCTGCAGAATTTAGTTGACTTTTTTACCCAGAGGGAGAAAGAGATCTTGCTGTTTTTACTGCCAGTTTGTATTACTGTACTCCAAACTCAGTTACACACTATGATGACAGACCACCTGCAGTAGAAATGGGTTTTATAGCCTATTTTGCCTCCAAGTTCTCATTTTAGCCCATAATGTTGTTTGTTAGCAAGATATACAGCTTAAGTGATGGCTTTCTTCTTGTGGTGTAACAGAGTTGTAATTCTGGGGAAGGAGGTTATCTTTTAGTCATTTTTTTTTATTTTTACTCAGTGGTAAAAAATTGTGAAATATTATGAAATGCAGGTGCGACATTAATGATTTGCTTTCACTTTGTCCTTGCTTTTGTTTTCCGTAGACGATGGAAAGTTTCCAGAGGCCGTGCGAGTGCTCCTGACCTGGCTGGAAAGGGGGGAAGTCAATCGCAGAAATGCCAACAACTTCTACTCCATGATCCAGTCCTCCAACAGCCACATCCGCCGGCTGATGGGTGAGAAGAGTCAGCACGAGAAGGAGATGGAGGAGGCCAAAGACAAGTTCAAGACGGCTCTGGCTGGCATAGTGGCTCAATGTGAGTCTCTAACATCTCTCCTACTCACCACAGTGCCTCGCACCTTTAGTGTTCTGAGACTTTGTCCTTATATAAACTCAGATTTTAGTTTTTTTTTTTATGAAGATCTGATGTTACTGACTACTGACTATTTCCGTAAAAATTCAAAAAATATCCACTGGACTTGGTTTTCAAGATTTGAAGACGTTTCGCCACCTCTCCAGGAAGCTTTCTCAATTCCTGAGTAATGCATTATCTAAAAGTGGAAAGAAAATTAACCATGGTTTTAACCTTTTCTCTTATCTTGAATTGTACACCATTTCTGTAGATTAACAGAAAGAACTGCAGTTGTGCATTTGTTTTTAACCCTACCAGCTCAATACGTTATACAACCAGCTGGGTCTAAATGGGGACTAGACACTAACCTGGCAGTAGCCAGATTGATATGTATAGAACTGAGTTGAGTTTTAAGTTATCCATCTGGGATGGCTCCACTTCAGTCTGTCTGTGGATAGGAGGGGTATTTAGTACAACACTTTAAGCTGGTTGGGTGATGTGCCAGCTAGTACCCGTCCTCCATAACACGCCTTCAGCCAATTGTATCAGCCAATACCCAGCTTAATAGGGGGAGTGGCAGCCCTAGTGGTTAGGGGATAGAACTCCCACAGACTGCCACTCTGGGTCTCTGAGCAAGACCCCTATCCCCACAGTGCTCCCTGGGTGCCCCACAATGGCAGCCCAGTGCTCCCCAAGGAGATGGGTTAAATGCAGAGGTACATTTCTCCTATGTGAGATCAATAAAGTTCAATTATTATTAATGGCTTCGGGCAACTTGGTTGTCAATGAGAACCACCAATGGTGATACGATAATCACAATAGGATTCGTCTGCAGCTTCTTGAGTGTTTTTACAACTAGAGGAGTGACGTGATAAATCAAACCTTTTCCATATCCTATTGGAAGAAAAACACGGACATCTTTCCCATCTTCAAATGCACAAAATGCTTCTATTTGCTCCTTCTTTAAAAGACAAATTGTTGCTATTTTAGCTGAAACCAAGTCAATTGCGGTATATCGACAGGTGAGTCCTCCAGTGTAGCCAGACCTGTAATACCCTAGCAAGGCCCTTCTAACTGCCATCATTCCTACAATTGGTTGTTACGAGACGGACCTATTAGCGGGAGTCTTTCAAGATGGATTTTTTGTGAGACTGAAAACTGCGATCTCGCGACAATCCAGCTTGCAGCGCAAGGTTAGGAAAGACACATAGCAGATATAATCAGGTTTGGACGATGACTAATCCATTCTAGTCCATTAATATGCTTTGATATAAACCATTACACTCTTGCTCTATGTTTACAGTCCATGCTAAACAAAACCTCCCCTCACCGTGATCCTTTCACCGTGGGGATGATATGCAGATCCTTCCAAACAAACCACTTCCATGTTTCTCATTAGAAAAAGTTCCTCTAGATTCCTTTCAGCAATAGCCGTGTTTCCATTTTACTAAAATTCAAACTTTAAGCAAACTTTTAAAAGTTTGAAGAAAAGGAAATATAAATTTGTTTCCTTTTGGTTTGAAGCAAATAAACCAAGCGCCGCAAAGGCCTCATATTCGTCGACAGACATGACAGTAGTAAACAGGAAATAGACGCTGAAAATCTACAACTGACCACAGATCAGTAATGGAGGAAAGTTTAATGAATGTCTTGCGTTCATGAAAGTTCTTTCTTGGTTAACATGTCTTTTGCTAGTAGAGCCGATGTTGCTTCCAACCATTTACGTTCATAATGGGATCATCTGGGAAGACTTAAACATCTGAAACAGCTGATCAGTCATGTGAGTCAAAGTTCACTACTTCAGAGCTAGTGATGGATTGTTGAGGAACCATGAAGCGTTTCGACTAATTTCAAACTTTATCAATACTGCGTTGGTACTGTGTCACTCAATACTGACACCTGCTGGACCTTTAAAATCCCCACTTGCAGCCTATTTGACAGACTGAACTGACTGATTCGATGACCTAGAACAATAATATGATTGAAGTCATTCTATGTTATTATTTTATATCTTCATTTAAATTGGAAATATTTTTTACATTTTTAGATGCAGTCAATAAATAAACATTTAAACATAAGATAATGTGCAAATGTAAGTAAACGTGAATAAGGATGTTGCGGACTAGAATAAAGAAAAAATAACTAAACGTGTGCAGTAAGTTCGGCAAACGGAAAATCTATTTGAATTTAATTTAAGTTCAGATAACTCGAGTGATAAGTGAGAGGAGCAGGATGGCCCAACAAGAAAATCTGTCCCACACAGCTGAAACCTTTGTTTTGCCTTAAAGTTGCTCCATATTTCTTGATAAATTTGATAATGACATGCTAAAGATCAGAGATTTTTTTTCGCAGACCTCGTTGACGTACTTATAAACACAGTTTATTGCGTCAGTTAGTTTGAAGCAGCTCCTGTATTGGTCACGTGACTTTGTTGAAACGATACACGCACAAGGTTTGGCTCTGTGAGCTCCACACATGCGCTGATGTGAAAAAAATAGATCCTGATGAATGAAACCATCTCAACAGTAAGGTTATTTTTCCTAATGCTATGTAATCTACACTGTGTGCAGAATTATTAGGCAAATTAGTATTTTGACCACATCATCTTTGGCTTGAAAGCCAACTACCAATTAAGTAAATCAGTTGGTGTGCATCTCTGTAATGAGAAGGGCTGTGGCCTAATGACCCCCATGATAAGGTGTGCTTAATTATTAGCAAACTTCCTTTCCTTTGGCAATTTGGGTCAGAAAAGAGATTTGACAGACTGAAAAGTCAGAAATTGTCAAATATCCTTCAGAGGGGTGCAGCGCTTCAAGCTTTTGAAGCGGGATCAACGCCCAATCAAGCGGTTCATGGCAAATAGCCAACAGGGGCGCAAGAAGCATGTTGAGAAAAGAAGACTCAAAATAACTCCCCATGAATTGAGAAGGATCAAGCGTGAAGCTGCCAGGAAGCCATTAGCCACCAGTTGTGCCATATTTCAGAGCTGCAACATGCCTGGAGTGCAGAGAAGCACAAGGTGCTCAATACTCAGGTACCTGGCCAAGGAAAGGAAAGCCAAAAAAAGGCCACTTTTGAACAAGAGAAAACATCAAGATTGGGCCAAGAAATATCTGAAGACTGATTTCTCCAAGGTGTTTTGGTCTGATGAAAGGAGAGCGAGTCTTGATGGCCCAGATGGACGGGCACCAGGCTTGATCAGTAAAGGGCAGCAAGTTCCTTATCGACTCAGACGCCAGCAAGGTATAGGTGGGGTACTGGTTTGGGCTGGTATCATCAAAGATGAGCTTGTGGGACCTTTTTGGGTTGATGGTGGAGTCAAAATCAACTCCCAGATGTACTGCCAGTTTCTGGAAGACACTTTCTTCAAACAGTGGTACAAGAAGAAGTCGCCATCATTCAAGAAAAACATGATATGAACAGTGTCTGGGAGGCTGTGGTGGCTGCTGCACACAATGTGGATCGCAAACAGCTAGACGTAAGGCTTTTGAGCATCATGGTGAAGAAAGGTGGCTATATTGGTCACTGATTTGTTTGTTTTTTTTTGTTTTTGAATGTCACAAATGTTTATTTCTGAATTTGTACTTGTTATATTTGTTTACTTGGGGAAAATAAACAAGTGAGATGGGTATATATTTGTTTTTTATTACGTTGCCTAATAATTCTGCACAGTAATATCACACAATTGTGGCCCAATAATAAAAATAATCCTCAAAAATACAACTTGTCTAATAATTCTGCACACAGTGTATATAGGGTGATGTGAGGTGCAAGTTTTAGGCCAGAAATAGTGCTTTGTTTAAAGCCTGTTCTGTATAGGATCTCTAGGTTTTCATGATACTGTTTCTTTACTAATGTTGACTAAGAACTGCCAGAGGCCTAAAGACAACATCTTTATTCATTCTGAGATGAAAGGTCAGACCAAAAGGGAAGTTAATACAATTATAAGCCACACTTTACACATTTTTATTTGTATAAACCTTTGGAAACCACTATTTACCTTCCACTTCATAAGTCTGCTTTCCTTTAATTTAGTCAATTACATAATATTTAATCACAATACTTAGTGGCTGAGAACTGATTATATGTGAAGCTTAAGGAGTAAAAACAATCCTCTTGGAATAGATATGCAGGTCAGATGGGCTTTAAAATGGTCGATCTTTTTTCTTTATGTTACATATTAAAATCTAAATTGAGACTTATTTGCCTGGAGTGCTGATATCCCCTTAAAAGTAAGTATTTTTTGTTCATAACCTGACATTTAGAGTATATGTGCAAACATTTACATTTATGTTCATCCCATTCATTAAATAAACAGACATGATCTAAATTGTTGATCAAAGAATGGTAAGTTAAAGGGCTTTCAGATTAAAAGGGAAGAAAATGTTTTTTTGTTGCCTTTGAACTGAAAAATACCTACAAAAGTTCGAGGTTATTTTCGGATTCATGAAAGGCGAGACATCAGGAGTCTGTTATTAAGGTTCCCTTCAGATGAAAGAAGTAAGTAGCCTAACACGTTTCTTTTTTTAAACTAGAATACAATGGAGACCAAACATGCACAGTAACTGCATGCTAAGTTCTTATGAGCTCCTATAAAGCCAAAGGCAGAAAGCCCCATGCTTGTGCAGCTCCCACCTTTGACAGCTTGAGCTGTGCAGATGCCAGTTTACACCACAGCCTGCAGCGCTCCATCTCCACACATCCCATCACACGCATGCTAAATAAAATGTAAACATCCAGTCAATCCTCAGTCGCAGTTGGTAGTGTTTCATGCATTGTTTATTAAATCTGCCATCTTCAATTATTTTGACCCATATACATTCCCATTCATGGTGCTGCCTTTCCTGTAAGTTTGGTTTTTAGTTTGATTAAAAATGTGCTCTGACCCACTGGAGCTATTTTACAGGTTTGAACTGATGGCTTACCTTTTTATAATATGCACACTTCTTAATTTCTTTGTTGCTATGTTAAGTGTGATTGAAGTGGTCTTTTTATAGGGAGCAAATGCAAAGGTGTTTTGCAGAGTTGTGGAAACAGATATGCACTCTTACAGATTTCTTCTTCTTTTCCCTTTTTAAAAAAAATGACCTGGATGAAAATAAAAAATGCGGTTTTTAATTGATTATTTATTTCAAATGTAAAAACCTTGGCCCTTGACAAAAAGTAATTGCCCCTCTTGTTAAAACATGAATTAATGTAATGTAATTAACACAAGTGTTTGGATAGCTGATTGATTTTTAACCTTTATAATCAAGAACCCATTAAAACAGACAACATGAAAAAGGCTGACATCACAAAAGACAACACTCAATATAACGAACAGTCATCCATATCTACCAGTGTGAAAAATTTGGACTGACCTCGTCAGCTTTTAACTGAAACGTTTCCATCTGTCAGATGTAAAACAATCCTCATATAAAAATTTTAAATGCTAAAGAGTTATTGTTTTTCACTCAGCAGCATAAGGATCTACAAAGCTTTTGTTCTCTAACATATGAAGCTATAATTTAAAAGCCTTTTTTTGGGAGAAATGATGCAAAACATTTAAGTGTAACAACAAAAGCAAAAACATTCAAAATCTGTGAGAGAGCAAATCCTTTATAACTGAAACCTTTTTATGTGAAGCAAAAAAAAGCATTTAAGAAAAACAAGATTTAAAGATTTTCTTAAAACAGAGAATTCTTAGAACGAATAATTTTCTTTTTGTGCTCAGTTTCTGTCTTTGCCTTCATCATCAGTCTGTTCATCAGATTACATGGAAGATGCTATTGATTCCTGAGTTTCTGTGTCTTTTAGCACCCTGCAAACACACCTTTTCATACAGAATCTGTTTGTTTTATTCTTCTGTGTACATTTGGAGTTCAGAAAGTCGCAGATCTCCCAAAAGGTCCTCTAAAACCACTGCAAACAGAGCTGTAAGCTCAGGGGATGAAGACCTATTATGCTGCGGATCACTGCACAGGCAGGGTCTGCAATGACCCTAAAGTTGATGCTTTTGACTCATTCAAGCAATTTTACCCATAAATAACTCAGATAGCTGATTCAAAGTGTTATTCTCAACAAGAACTCTGGAGCTGCATGTTGTCTGATCTGCTCTTATTCTTTGTGAAAAGGAAAAGTGTCCTCTGCAGAGGAATAAGCAATCAGAAGACTGTAATGCTGCAGTAAGAAGGCATCTTTGAGTAACATTCTAACGAGACCTGCTCTGCAGAGGAGCTGCACCATGGTCAATGCTGGCAGAAGAACAGTAGGTTATTTTTGGCCGCCGGCAGTCTCTGAGCAAATCTAATAACAAACTTGCACTGAAAAGGTGCACTAAGGAAAACCAAGCATATCCTCATTGCTTCTGTTACCAAGAGTCAAAGGCAGTTTGCCAGGATTTGATACAGCCTCATATGGACCCTGTGCTGTCAAATGAAACAAATAGCTGATTTTAATGTATAAGTGGGATTTGGGCATACAGGTTCTAGTAGTTATTTAATTTGATATTGCACACCCTTTAATTTTTATTATTTTCAAAAGATTGTAAACATATTGCAATTTAGATGTTTTGGCAAAATCATACAGCCTTACTTTGAAGCCAAAATAAATGCACAAAGACCTTAAAAGGAATAAAAATGTAGTGACCGGATGTATCCGAGATGTTAATGAAACAGCAGCTATGTATTGTTCAACTGATAATAATAATAATAATACATTTGATTTATACTGCACTTTTCATCAAAAAGACCTCAAAGTGCTACAAAAAAGAAAAGCATTAAAAAAGAAATACATAAAGATTAAAAAAAATAATAATGAAAGCTGATAGTAAGCATGATATTGTGATCGCCTGGGTGTGATTGCTCTTAGAGTCATCTTATAACCTCTTGATCTACCTGGACCCATGTTAATACCTGGTCTGAACAGAGCCAACAGCAGAAACCTCCTGCAGAACCTGCAGTCTGCAGAAACAGCAATCAGCTGCAGCCAGCTAGAGGAATGACAAACGAAGCACTCAGACAGAAAACACAGAAGCATTGGTCCAGGGATACTTTCTATTAAAAAGGAAAGAGTTATGCAGCAGTAGCTCATATGATCTATGAGATAAAATACATGGAACATTAGTCTTCAGTACACTTTCCTATTTTATTATTTAGAGTTCTTCGATTTGATCACCCATGAGGTTGTTGTACCATTTTTAAATGAGTAGATTTTAAAAACCCTGGACTAAAAAATGAAGCCAGGTGTAGAAGAAACTTCCTGGGGCGGATTGCTTGTTTTATGTACCCCAAATATTGTGGTAAAAATAGCAGATGTTCACAATGAGCAGCATTCATAGATAAAACACTGAGACATCCCTACAGTTAAACAGTCATTTTTATATCTGAATGGATGATAAATAATTTTTGACAAAGAAGGTCGGAAAGTGATATATCCTGGGATTAAAATGGTCACGTCCTGGGATTAAAAGTTTTATAGGCAGCCACAACCAAAGGCTTTTAGAAAATGGGAAGACTGAATGATGAATGATTTTTGAACTGTAACTTGGAACATCCATCCTTAGGATGGTGCAGCGGCATCAGTCATAGGTATGTTAAACACACAAACATGCTCACACAGAGTTCTTATGCCTAGTTGACTCCACTTTCTCACTCCTCTGCTCCCTCCCAACTGCCCTCTGTCTTTCTCTGTCTCTGTCTCTGGGTGGTCTCTGCTCCTTCCCCGCATCCCGCCACAGTTGAGCAGATTGTGTCTGTATTCCAAGCTGCTTCCAAACAAAAGGCATGGGACCATTTCTCCAAAGCTCAGCGCAAGAACTTGGACATGTGGCGCAAACAAGTCGAGGTTGGTGCACTTTGATTTCATTGTGTTTGTTGTATAAAATATGTAAAATAGATATTCTGTTTTGTTTTTTACCTTGTTTCAGTGAGAACTTAATTATGTTTGAACTAGTCTTACAGTGTGGAACAGAAAGGGGATAATTATTAAAATGTTTCTTGAAGCAATGCAGAAAAGCAGGCTATAGTAAGTACTTTGCAATAAGCCGACCCTGTTCACCAGCTTCTATTAGTTCAGAAGTCCAGACTTCTCCCTCTGTCCTCCTCCCCTCCCTCCTGAATGAATACAAGCTGCTTGGTGAGCGCTGCCATCTTAAAGGGTGTCCTGGAAACAGGTAAATCTGTACAAGCTCTTTCCCCCTAAACCAATGGATTCCAGGGTTATGGCGAGAAAAACTTCTTAAGTGAAAAGTGAAAGTATGTGGATTTTCTTCCTCAGGCAAGACTGCTTTATCATCTGCTTGCTGCGCTCTTACTCTGCCAAATGGAACATTAATTGACATGATGATGGTTTGTATGTAATGGAGGATTTGGAGTGTGTAGTAGTCCGGAGTCTAAAGGATCATTTATGGTCATGTTTCGATTGGTAAGTTGTTGTATTTTTTTAACTTCAGCTCGACAAACATACTCAAGCTGTAATTTAGGGACACATTAAGTCGGGTACGCATAATAAAAACTGAATCTGTGGCAGAAGCAGCAGTTGTCCTGTGCTAAAACCTCTCTTTATAAGGTAGGTGATTGAAATACTAACTGTTGCTCTGATTCTCAGAACTATAAAAACAGTCGACCTGAAGTTTTACCAGCTGCATCGCCTTCTGTCACTGCAAAGGTTTAAACGTAGCTTCTGTGAAAGTTTGTTGGTTGAGTGATGAAGCCACTCTATGTTCTTACAGCTGTAATCATCAATGTGTTTTAGTTGGATTTTCTTTGATAGACCAACACAAAGTAAAATCGTTAATAGCCTGTACTTGTAGCAGTTTTTAAGTCAGGAGACTCCATAGAGCTTTAAAATACATTTGTAAGCTAGAATGAAAAAATTTTTTTTTGTGCTACTAAAAACTTTCAGACATATATGTATATATATTTTAAGTAGATATACGTTTTTACTTAAAAATCATGCAAAGGATGACAGGCCACAGTAGCAGCAGCTTTTCTGTGAAAGGTTCCTAAGGTGTGATTATTTTTTCCTGGCTCTCTATACTAATGATTTCTTATTTATTTCCTCTGTATTTTGGTTTGAACCATATTACAGCTTTTCTATATCTAGGTCTCTCTCGCACTTATATTTCTTCAGTGGCTACTTCAGTTCTGCCCTGCGTTATTTATTTCTGTGAGCACTCAGTCTGCCTCCAGTGAAAGCCGCTGGCTTCGGATAAATATGAGGAGGTAATAAGAGCCGCAAGACGCAGCCATACTGTAGGTTTGTGTGAAGGTCAGAGAATCATAATAATGGGTTTTTAGTGTGAAAAACCTCATGTAGCTGCTCATCTATGTTAAATCACAACAAATTACTTATTTACCCTGGAAAATAGCTTGATGCAAGCTTGTTTCCACAGAAATCAGACTTGTATGCTGTGAACCTGTGTCCACAGCGAACTGAACTGTGGCAGGGAGGGAGGTGAAACATTTAGAAGAAAAGGCAGAAAAGTTAAATGGATTCAGCCCTGCTCCTCAGTCAGACAACAGCTGCTTCCTCCTGTCAGTGTGCCTCTCTCCCACCAGTGGGTTGGACGCATTAATGTGCTGGTGTGTTTGGAGTACCTGTGTGACTCCTTCCATGAGTTTTACTTGCTGACGTCAGTCGGCAGATGGTTGATTTACTCTCTGCTAACTTTAGCGAGAAACAACCAAAAAATAAAACCAGCCTGTCGGTTTCCAAATCCTTTCATACTTTACCATTTCTACATCATATAATCTTCTGTGTTTTAATTATCGGCTAATTAAAGCTTAATAATAATGCTTGAGGATGATCTTTTTGGCAAATATGTATGAAAAAGTGTTATATTCTTGACTCCACAGAGTGGCTTTTATCTTCTTTTAGAGCTTTTAGAATTAGATGGTGCTAATATGCAGTTTTCTCAGCTGTTGATTTACAGATGATTATTTTAGAACCCTCTTCCATCTAAAACTATTTTGTTTTCTCCGATTTTTCTTGTCCAATATGCTGTGTGAAATCTCTGGAGCTTTATTTTCAATGGTGTGTGCTGTGTGTAAATTAACCATGAAAATGTGTCCTACTTAACTGTTTTTTCCTTACAGAGTTTGATTTTCATCAGTTCAAGTAGGAATCTCTTTAGTCCTTAGCTGGATCCGTAGGCATTCAAAACAGTTATCTAATTACTATTTATTAAGGATCATCAATTTGCAAATTTTTTTCATCTAAACATAATGGCACCTTGCCTTTATTTAAGTGTGATAATTACCTCAAATAGGAATCTTTTTATTTCTTTTTTGTTGCCTTATAGCAATGACTAATTACAGAGATTAAGAATGGCATCTTTACATTTCTATGCCTATTATCTATACAAGTCTTTGCTAAACAGACGTTGCCTCACAGAATCATTGACCCTTTTCATATTCAGCATATCCATAAACTTTATTACATTACATTGATGTTATATGTGATAGATAAACATAAAGAAGCAAAAATAATATAGTTAAAGCAAATTAAAACAATTGTTTTCCGTTTTATTTACTAATTAAAATCTAGAAAAAGTGTGCTATGTTCGGGCCACTTCTACGGTGATACCCTGAAATGAGATCCAGCAGTATTCATTTGGTATTTAGTGAATGGAGTGAATAAATGTAGCAGTTCTATAAAAAATTATCACAACATCATGAAGACTAGAGACAAATTTGTGGAGAATCGATTAAAAAAAGAGGATTTCTGAAATTCAAGCTTTAAACATCCCACAGATCCCTGTTTAATCCACTGTCCAAACATCGATGGAATGCGGCACAACTGCAAACTCACCACGTTTCTATGTCCATTCACTATATTTAACAGTGCAGATAGTGAGAGCATTAGCCAGAGAGGGATCCAGGAAGGCTAGGCTAGCTTTGTTAAAGCTGCAGGGATCCACAGCTCAGCTGGGACAGTTTGCTGAGGAGACGACTACAGTATTAGTCATGCTTACCAGCATATTATGTAAAGTGCCAAAAAGAAAGCATGTTTGCCAGTTAGAGATGTAAGTAACAATGCAGACATGTGGAAGACCATCCTCTCAACAGACGAGAGCAAAACCTTTTGTTCTACTTGTAAAAGGTTCTATATGGCAAAAAATATATATATAAAATATAAATAAATAATAATCCCTATTGTAAAGCATGGTGGTGGCAGCCTCATGTTCTGGAAATACCTGTATGCAGCTAGAGAGCTGATAGTTTGACAGAAGTAAATCCAGGATTTCTATAGAAGAAAATCAGTTTGAGGCTGTTAAAGACTGAATCCAGTGGAAACCTGTGCGCTCCATCTGAACTAACAGAATTTGAGGTGTTTTGCAAATAAAAATTGTCAAATGTTTCACTCTTCATTTGCGCAAAATGTTTAAAATGTAATGGCTGTCAATGGTACAGTATTTCAATGAAATATTAAAGCATGAAGGCTGAATAGAAAAGCACACCATAATCTTTATTTCTCTTTAGAAATAATCTCACACACAATCCTGACCAAACATTCAAATTTGATGTTTAGACATAAAGAAAACAATCTTTAACTGATGTTAAATTAGAAACACATCGTCTCAGTGTTCTCCCAACCACATCTATAGTCTGAGCTCTGAAAAAGAAAGCAGGTCTTTAGTTTTGATGCATTTCATCTCTGTTCAGCTCCCTTCTTTTATCCTCCACCCATTCCTTAAAGCTCATACTCAACATTAACTATAGAAGAGGATTCTTTACTGGCGATTGCACCCAGTCTAGTTCAGCACTTTCTTTAAAGTCCTCATGATTCTTGGCAGTTCTCACCCACCCCTCCTTTCCCTGTTTCACAGGAGATCAGAAACATGCACAACGAGCAGCTGATGGACATCAGACGTGAAGAGGAGATGGAGATGTCTGATGATGATATGGAGGACGTCCCTGACAGCAAAGACTCTGAAGACTCAGGTATGCATATGCATGCGTGGATCCGCTGCTCAACACTGTTCTCATCTTGACAGGAAATCGGCCAATCCAGATCTCCAGAGGTTGGATGCATTGATTGTTAAATAACTGAGGGAGATGACTGGAATGACAGTCATCATCCCCTATGAATCTGATAGCAGTCTTTAGCTCCACATGAATAAGAAAACAGGTTAAAAGTACTCCCTGATGCAGATAGCGTGCATGTTGCTCTGAGTTAGTGCAGAGCCTTTCTGCTTCTCTCATCTGCCATCTGTTTTTTCAGATTGGGTTACGTTAGAAGGGCCATGATCTTCAGATTTTACCTCAGAAGAGTCTCTTTTTGTTTGCTGAGGCAGTGAAAGCTAATGGCGTTGCTTATCTCTCAAGCCCCATAACAATAAACTGAGAGCAGTCAACAGGGCATCGTCCAGAAAGCACTCACCGTCACATGTATGGTTGCTGTCATCTGCTCCGTGTGCGATGCTTTCCTCATATACTCTTTCTTCCTCCCTGTTCATCACTCTGATCTCTGCCATTTGGTAATGTGACAGCATCTCTAATTAGCATGCAAATAAATGTAAACGCTGCAGTCAGCTCATTTGCAACCTTGCTATTTAGCTATCAGCGATTAGTGCTGCTGTCAGAGTCTTGTCATTTCACTCGATTCTGCAGGATTGGCTGAGGTGACGGGTGTTAATGTAAAACGTCTGGGTATTTGTGTTAACAGGCTGAGTGTTAAGCCCCCTTTACCTCTCTAACCTTTAAGAATGCATGTTTACACACCAACAAGCCCTGCTTGAAACACCTGTGTTATGACTGCAGCCTCTATAAAACGAATCGAAGCTTTGAGTCTGAGCCGTGTGCAGAATAGAAAGACGAACCGCTGGTTATTGTTGGCGAATGTGCACCTGGAGGTGTGTGCGTGCATCCCTGCTCACGGATAGCTGCGGGTCGATAGCGCTGCTAGTTATGTAACTGAATCTGGGCACGCGGTTGACATCTCCTCTCACCAAGCTGATGAGGCTCTTAGATCAATACCCTTTTCACCTCGAACCTTCATTTTGCTGGAAGAGAAGCACACACAAGCTCCATCTGGACATGCACACTCACCCAGCAAGAGTTCATTAACACTGCCAATGGTCCTTCATGATAGACTGCTGGCAGCTCTCATGAACACCTACACATACCCTAATAAGATCTCCTTTTATATACACAGAGAGAGACGATGAGGATTATCTACTGTCCAGTCGGTGAATTGACTTTTTTTTAAAGCTTTTTCTCAAGCCATACAGAGGGGGGAGGGAGCTGATAGTTTCTGGTGCTGGGCAGATCTCATAATAATGATACCTCCCTCTGTCTGCTGCCTCTGCTCTACAGGTCAGGTCAAATATCCAGCAGGAAACTATTGAACAGAACATTCTTGGATTATTATACTCTCCTGTCATTGTTAATATTCTCCTGTTCTTTTGATTTATCAGACATGAGGTGAAAACTGTGCTCCTTGATGTTTGAAATTCAAATTTCATTGGAATAGCGAGATTTATTGTCTTGGAATCTCCTAGATTGTTCTATAAAGATTCATTGATTTCTTAATCTAACTCAAAATTTTCAAAAACTCAAAAGTTCCAAAATGGAACAAAATACTTAGATTATCAGGTTGGTTTTGTTGAGCAGCTCCGGGTTTAAGACGGAACTCTCATATTAAGGAACATCCAGCAGGAACCTGGGCTCAATAGTTGGCAATTGGTTCAAACATTTTAATAATTTTATTTTCTTTGTTTTGTTTATTGGGAAAAGTAGTTGTGGCCCGCATCCAATGATGTTGGGCTGAGCGATGAGTCGGATTTTTACAGTTACTCACTACGTCATTCACTACGATAACTGGCAACAATTTTTACATGTCGGTAAACGATATGAACTTAAATTTGCCGTTTGCCTTCGGCTGCTGGTGGCTGGTATTTTCTTCCCCTTTAAGAAACTGCAGCAGGTGTGGTAATCACGCGACCCCGCCGATCCAGTCAAAAGCGTAAATAAAGAGAATGGCGTATGAGTCGTGTGAAGAAGCGTCTAACACAATGTAAATTACATCAGTTAATTCTATGGAGCCGAGTGAGAGCAGAGATGAAGCTGAACGTGCAGAGAAGAAGCACGTTGTCAGAGATAAGCACGCAGCAGACCGGTTTGGAGCGAAGGTGTGCGAGTTTAAACAATTCACATTGTTCTCGCTGCACGCTCAGTTTGGTGGCACCAAAATTACGCCATAGATGTTGAGCAAAAGCACAAGAAATGCAAAGTTTGTTTGAAAACTGTCAGAAATACCCAAAGTAACACATCCAACCTCCACCTCCTACAGCACAACCACGCTGCTGAGTTCAAAGATGTGCAAAAGGCTCCATTACCTTTGCACAAAAATGTTTAAAAGAGAGGAAACGTGGAGCAGAGCCAGGGAACCGACCTTGTAGGACGTGTTTTGCTGGTGCTCTGACGTGATATGTGTTTAATGAACATTTTTGCACCTCTTTACACTCTTTTTGAACAAACTGGACTACTAGTGAACGAGAAAGCACATTGGTTGTGCAACCTGTAAGTACAGCAGTTAAACATGGGAAAAAACGACAAGACTGGCCGCAACAAGGCTGACCACGAAGCTCCTGCTGAACCACAAGCTGATAGCATGCTGCTAGCCAAGATGCAGGAGATGCTGAACGACTCACGGACTGATCTCATTAACAGGTTTGAGAACATTGTTTCGAATGTCGTTAAGAGGGAGATCTCAGCCGCTGGGACGCCACTAGAAGCTAAAATTGTTTCGTTTGGGACTGCTATTCACAATCTGGAGCGGGCTGCTAATGATCAAGACGGGAGGCTAGCTACCCTGGAAGCTTCGGTTAGCTCCTTGAATGCGTTGGTGGACACGCTGTCCGACAAAATTCTTATCAACGTTGCTTCAGGCTCTGCTAGGCCTTGAGGCCAAGCCTACCCTTGACCGGGCTCATCGTACATTGCGGGCCAAGCCGGCAGAGGGGGACCCACCGCGGCTGTTTGTTGTCCGTGTCAACCTGTTCCAAGAGCGGAATGAGATTCTACGGAGGGCTCGTGAATCATCTCCCTTACTCTATGAAGGAAAACGGGTGTTCATTTTCCCGGATTATTCTGCCTCAGTTGCTAAGAAACGCGCTATGTTCGCGAAAGTAAAGAAGGAGCTCCATTCTTGCCCTGGAATCAAGTTTGGGCTACTTTTCCCTGCAGTCTTACGGATCACCCTTCCCAATGGGCAAGTTCACAAGTTTGAAGACCCAACCCTCGCTGCAGACTTTGTTGGTAAAAATATTAAAGCTGTGGTTCCTCCGAGCGCAGTTTAATTCGGGGGTGCCTCTACCCAAGGATGGGTTCACATTTTTGTTGAAGAACTGTAATAACCAGTGCAATAAGACTGTTGCATAATACATTTCTGTTCTCAATAGTGCCTTTTAAGTACTTGGGATACACTCTGGATATAGTTCATATTTTGGACATTTAATCTATTTGAGAAATAGAGGGGGAAAACAGAAGGAAAATAATTGTGTGTACTTTTTTACTGTTACTGTTCTAGTTCCTACTGACAAGACTCAATGGGCCTTCGTGTGTCTGAATGTACATTAGCTCTTCACGCTTTACAATACATTTCTCGTTTCTACAAACCAGTTATTTCATAGTTGGTGCATTCATTGCATACTGTTATATTTACTTTGCATTCCCAGGAGGGTTCGTCAATAGTTTTAGACTACTCTCTTTTCCTAGTCTCTTGTAGGCTGGATGCTGTGTTTTTTTTCTTTTGATAGGGCTTCGCACGTCCCGTTTGGGGGGATGCTTCAGCGATGGGGTCGGTTTAAGGAGGTGGGGGTGGGGGGGTTGGATTGCAGGGGGAGGTACACTACTTTGTTTTTGTTTTTTTTGTGTTACTCTGTTTCTCTTTTCTCAGGTGACCGGGGCGACTCATGTTTACTCTCTTGTTTTATTCTAATTTATGACTGATCCTCAATTGTCATCGGCTACAAGGGTGGGACGAGAGATCCGTTTCACCAACTTCAACTGCAGGGGACTTAACAATCCGGTAAAACGCAGTAAGGTACTTCATCACATGCAGCGATTGGGGGCACAAATAGCTTTCCTTCAAGAGACACACCTTAAGAACATGGACCACGTGAGGCTGAGGCGTAGCTGGGTCGATCAGGTTTATCATTCCTATTTTAACTCTAAATCTAGAGGAGTGGCTATTCTTATCCATAAATCTGTCCCTTTTGTGCACTCTCAAACCATTTCTGACTCTTCTGGTAGATACATTATGGTCACTGGCACCATTTACAATGTCCCGGTGGCATTGGCTAATATATATGCGCCCAATTATGACAACGAAAACTTTTTTAAACATGTTTTCCAGACACTCCCCAATATGTCCACCTATCACTTAATATTGGGAGGTGATTTTAACTGCTGGCTTGACTCCCAGCTGGATCGCTCATCAACATATATAATCGCGCCCTCACGCTCATCTAAAATTATTAACTCCTTTATGTCTGAATTTAATGTCTGCGATGCTTGGCGTTCTCTTCACCCTTCCCAAAAGGTTTAATCGTTTTTTTCCTCAGTCCACCACACTTTTACACGTATTGATTTTTTCTTGATTGATAATAGATTGCTGCCCTCTCTCAATGGGTGCAAATATGATGCTATTGTTTTATCGGACCACGCTCCTGTTTCTATAAACATCAGATTTGACTCTCGCCCCGTTGAGCGGCCACCATGGAGGCTGAGCACCCGTTTACTATCAAACGAAAAATTTGTATCTTTTGTGACACAACAGATAGATTTTTTTTTTAGAAACTAATAGAAGACCTGGGGTTTCTGCCTCACTACTCTGGGAGACACTTAAAGCCTTCATCAGAGGGGAGATTATCTCCTACGTAAAGTATGAAAATAAGTTACAAAAAGAGAGAATTACTACTTTAACACGCCATATTTCC